CTGAGAGTAAAAAGCAGAGACAAGTAAATTGGTCCTTCTCTGTGGTTGTCACAGACCTCTCTCACATAATTAACTCAAAGCACAGACCCTGCTGCTCAGCAGAGCCCATCTGACCACGCTGGAGGTCCTTCTGCTTGAAGCCCAGGATCTGCTCAGTATGCACCTGTGCCTTAAGGAGGTCTGCACAAATTCTGAACTTCTCCAACAGTGGGGGAGAAAACAGTGGTCAGACAAAGCCAATAAAACTAGCACCTCTGTAGTCAAATGGATAATTCTTGGTTTCACTAGTACCAACACAAGCTTTGCCACAAGAGCGCTACCTGATGAGCTGGTGCAAAGGCATGCAGAGGCTCAGATACAGATCTGCCCTTCCAAAGGAAGGCATGCTGTGCAAGCCATGCTGTCAGTTTCTTGGATCAGTGCTTTTAAGCACATCTAACAGTCCAAAATAACTTTACTCAAATTTACTGTAGCCCCATGGAAGGATTACTGATGCTATTCTATTACTTAGCACAAAGCAGTGGTCTCCAGGGGACTGTTTAGTAGCATATTCTTGTCTGGATATTAAATCAAGCTATGCCAACGACTCAAAAAACAGCAGGTAACAAGCTTTTTCCTGTTTTTCAGTGAGCTCTGCTGAATCTCATCTTTCATTTGTTTTGAACTGCAGTCTCTTATGTGCATACAGAAAAATCTCCAACTTTCCTCCCTGCCAAAGTACATAGTGTGTGATTAATGCATACAGGAATGTTTTTGGCTGTGGCTACACTGAGAGGCTCAGTGGATAGTGCTACTCCTTAATGGGAGCAACTATGGGGCCTCTTTCTCCATACCTCCACATCAGCAGTATGATGGAACCAGAGGAGCACAGGTGGAAGAACTTGAGGAAACACCAAGCTCAGTGGGACAGGTGAGTTTAGACATCAGAAGTTTGAAACAGCAGCTCAATCTGTTGTAACTAAGCTCCTATTGTTGTAATACAGGTAGGGCAAGTATACTAATAAAAACCCCACAATTTATCTGTACATGAATTACTGTGACCATGGTTTCTTTACTGACACATACAATGGATGTTATAGAAAGTGAAACATACTCCTGAGGAACAGGGGCCAACTTGGTCACTCTTCTTGAGTAGGCAGTTGGACCAGATGACCTGCAGAGGTTTCTTCCAACCTCAGCCATTCTGTGATTCTGTAAAACCATTTTTTTCCTTGTACTTATTTATGTATAAAAAAGCCTAACACCTGCAGCAGCCTATGTGAAATAATATTAATGATATTTTCTGAATTCAGAGTAGAAAAGGTTGCGCTTGGCTTGCCTAAATGAAACAAAATGTTTTATATAACATACAGAATCATGCTTGATATTTGGTACCAGTATCTATTACCCCTTCCTCAAAATGCTATTCCAAAGTTCACAGTTTAATACTGGTCACCAGCAGCACTAGAAAGTCTCACATCTCTCCCATACCGAAGAGTTTCTTTTCCTGCAACCAGCTAGAATGCAATTTATTCAGCTACATGGATTCATTCTTGCACTACTTTCCTTATTATACAGACATATATTCATGTCTCATCTGTGAAAAGAGCTTTCCTTGATTACTGTCAACATTTCATTTCATTGTGTTATCTTGTTTGTCCTTTGATGCTATAGTTTCCTTACTTTACAATGTTTTAACTACACTGGCTGCAACTGTTAAAAGAATAACTGTAATCTTGAGGATCAACTAGAAAGGATATAAAAGGGTTTAAGTAATTCATTTTACTGATGCTACAATAACTTATTTTTATTTGATTATGTAAATGAGTGTTGGTGCATATCCACTTGGCATAATACTGGAAAGTTTAATTTTCTCTTCTAAACAAAAAGCTTTCAGTGTTAGAAGCACATGAGCTAAGGAAGGTATCCTATGCACAGACTCCCATGACACATCCCAAAATTACAGTATTCAGGAAAACAAGGGCCATGCTTACCTGACAAAATTTACCACGATACATTCGCTAAGCTAACGTTCAAGATAGCAACAGAGATGGTCACAGACCTATGGACCTGCTTTCTCCCATCCTCAATCCCTGTCCAGCATCTACTCCAATAGGATGCTTCCCAAAGGGCTTGTGAACACCTTTCACTAGAAATAGGGGAAATGATATACAGTTTCAGAGACATTAAGGGAGCTACAACTACGGTTACCAGTAACATGAAGCCACAAGTCATTAAGACTTCTGTTCCAATTTCACCCTACAAGCTGTGTGACTCCTACTGTCATTGCATTTTATATGATGGTCCTCAATGCACAGACTGCTTTTAAAGTCTTCCTCTCCCCCCACCCTACATTTATCTACATCTTTAGACAGATAAGAAATAGATTCATTTCCTCTGAGAAAGAAAGAAGAGAGGACTTTTGGTTTTACTTCATTAGGAAGGTGGATTAGGACCAAGGAAAAAGACCAAAAGTCTAAAAGGTTTTTAATGAGGCTGAATGTGAATAGGGTGAAAGAAGTTAGGAAACTGAAGGCAGGAGACAGAGAGATCCTCCAAGCCAATGAGTTGAGAGGGGAACAGCTGAGGACCTCATGCAGTGATCCACAGCTGGAAACCAGAGACAGCTTTGAGCTGAGGAGACTGGTGTATGCCAACCCAAACCAGCAAACTGAAGAAGACTGCTGGAGTCTTCTCACGTAAGGAAGAATGTCTGGTTCTTGTCAGAAAGAAATGGTAAGAGTAACAACATAAGAATATGAGTAATGCTGGACAGCAGCTGGACACTGCTCACAAATAGTGTGGGTTTGCCTGTATATCCCAGTATGCTGACTGCTTGAGTACAAAATCTTTCATGGAAAAATTTTCTCATGAGATTTGCCCAGGAGACAGTTACTCTAAAACTTACTTCTCAGTACAAACGCAAATGAAAAGTGGGATTCCAAGCAGAAAAGAGAACTTAATCTTCTTTCTACAGAAAATTCATTAAAAAAAAATCTCTCATTGCTGTGATTGCTCTGTTAATTCACCTAAATACCAAGGACAATGCTGCCAGTATTTGAATGTGGGCTATTTCAGTACTGCAATTCTCAGAAAATCACATTAAACACTAATGCTCCTATATCTAGTAGCAATTCTTGAATTTATTACAGACTGCCCTCATGCAGGCTTTTGTCATTGTTCAAATAAACACACTGTAATAATTATTCAGTTGTTCCTCTGCTAATGTCTTACAGTTGGCCATGTATAGAATGAAAAATAAACAAAAAACATATGAGTTAAGTGATAATTCAGCAGGATAATTAGCTACGCTGTTTAAAAATGTCCTTGTGTTATATAGAACCAAGCTGGAAATAGTCAGCTTCCTAATCTCCTGGCATTGTATACCAGTATACATGTATGCATGAAAAAAATACAAATAGCCAGTTTACTATTTTACAACTTTTATTTGCTGAAATCCTACTCTATTCAAATTAATTCTTCTGCCAAAGACTTCAGCATACCCAGGACTTCGTTGAGCACAAATGTTATACCCACTATGACCCTTCCTCGACAGAAATGTAAAATTAAGACTTATTCATAGTTCTATCAAAGTGACAGTCTGTTCTTTAAATAACATTTAGGATTTCTTTTATATAACACTCTTTACATAATTTACATGGCATGAATACAAAGAAAGAGAAGAGAAGCTCAAATGGACAGTTTCCAGTATTGGCAAGAGCACTATAAACTCATGGGTTGCTATCCAAGCACTTATTTACCAGACTAAAATGACCTCCATAATGTGCTCTCTTACACAAAAGTGACACACAAGTCAAAGACTGAAAGTTAATTCTGTTTGGAAGAATTCTACTACTGAACAATATTTTTCTTTTAAATTGCCGTATTTTTCCCTAAAGGAGGAAGAAGTTGGTAAATGAATGTTGAATCTATGAAATTTTTAGTAATATTTCATTTCCCTAAGCACTAAAGAGCAATGTCAATGCTATTGTACAGAGCTGATGATTTGCAGAATTAGATCCCAACCCACAGTATAGACATGATTACTGGTCTCTAGTTGTTTTGAGCTCTCAAATAGAGCACTGCTAAATTTTTTGAGCCTTAAAAATAACCTGCATTAAACCAAATTTCATCTGCAATGTGAGGTCTCATTAACAACGTCACATATCTAGACAGATACAAATCCCTAACTTAACAAATGAACAACTGAATCTCACAGTGCAAGGTCAAACAGCGCTCCAGCTATTAAATTAATATTGTAAAGGCATAGTCATGGTGTTCCTTTGAACCCGATTTTATATTCTACAGAAATATGCTACCTATGGCTTTTAGGAAATCTGATAATGAAACATGAACAACCAAATCAAACATGTTCAGTAACAGCTTTATGTATTTCAGATTACTTTCTTATAGAGACTTGAGATTTTCCTGCTACACTGACAATTAGATCTACTTTCTGGAATTATTACACATCAACAAAACTCTGCATATCATTTTACGTGCTCCTTATGATTTACTATTCACTAATGGGAGAGCATATCTGTATGCTTCCAAAACAACAGAAATCTCACGTCAACATTTTTGGACACTGTAAATGATTTGCTTTATACACCAGACTTCTGTTTATCAGGACTCAGAAAAGAGTCTTATTTCACTTAGGTGTATCTTTCATTAATTCTTCCTGCCTACATAAATCTAGGTATTTATTCAAGGACATACGATAAATTCCCCAGTTTTCATCATCATTGTTGTTTTTCTTAAGCTTCTATCTGTAAGTTATTAATAATTAAACCCAAAGAGAAAAGAAGATTAGAAAAATATAAGTAGACAGGAGAGCTCACATGCTACCCAAGAAACAAGTGTGTGTAATAAAATAGCCATATTCAATCAGCCATATGCTTTCAACCATATCTTGCTGTAAAATTGTTAAAATACACTCAAAACCAAATGTATTTTTAAATAACCAGGCACTTGGCAGGCACAAATAGGTACACCCACTGGCTGCACACACAGCAACATACCTGCAGAGACACGGGGGCAATCGGGCAGCATGGACTCCACGGGTGTATCCAGTGGCTCAGAGCTGGACACCCAGTTACAACAGTTCTGCATGAGAAGATGTGCAATCGGTAAGCCAAAAACTCAGAGTAAGAATAAACAGAGACTTTGTAATGGTCACATCAAAAATGTACAGAGCAATCTCAACAGGGAGTGGAAGGTAGATGACACTAACTCGGTAATACCAAGTGATGTTCAAATATTCTGATTTCATCCTAAATATGTAAAATGAGGAAGAACTCAGCAGATTTGTAGCGTGCTGTCTTTAAGCATTACTTTGAGTGCCAGTGGACTTCAGCAGGTCCTTGGGCCAACGGGAGCCTGAACTAAACACTGCACATTTTAAGCCATTCCCCTCTGTAATCATTGCACAGGCATTTATATAAAACATTGAAGTGAAGTAATGAGAAGTCAGAATTCTAAGGGAGTTTTGATGGAGTATGTTGTACCGAGAAGGCTGTGAAATTACAATACAAAAAATTACAAGTGAGTGGAAGCCATTGAGACAGCAGTACAAATAATTGAAAATATAACTGAGATGAATTGGCATGAACATTTAAAAATGTAAATACTGGTCTTTGGGGAATTAGGTTGATGAAGCATTAATACTAACTTTCACTCCTGAATCTATAAGTAGGATGAATTTACAAGTAAGTTTTGTTCCAAATAGTATCTATTCAGAGGAGTCACTGAATTAAAGTATTAAATAATACACCTTTAATTAAAATACACTGAAACTATGTCCAATATATTAAACTGAAGACTTAATTATAAAACAACTACATTTTTAATAGGATTGCCAGCTGAAACACAAGTTCTATATGGCTTCCCTTATTAGAAATCTGAGTTTTGCCTTCCTCAGCAAGTGATTAACTTCATCAAAGAAAAAAAAAAAAACAAAACAACCCACAACATTTTTCTGGGAAAGACCCAATGAATTTTCAGACAGATTTCTAAAAAATCATCCCATCAATCATGACTGTAAAAATGGATGATGGCTATTCCAGTAAACAAGCATGTATTGTGTATTTGTAGATGCTTGCTGCCCTAGTTGTGCACCATGGAGTCTGTCCTCACTGTGGAAAGATCCTTGACTGGTAGATCAAGTGTCTTATTGTATTTCCTTAATTCATTCTGTCTGGAAGAAGATGTCAGCTGTGTTGCAGTGAGGAGAGAATTTCAAAGGCTTCAGTCCCCACCAATAAAGGCCGAGGAATGGCTTTTGAATAGATTTGTCAAGGCAACCCTACTGTTCTGGGACCAGGGAGAGCAGGAACAACATAAAGGAAGGGTTGCTGTATGAGATTAGAAAGTGAAGTTCACAAAGCACGGCAGATTTTTGTAAGAAACAGTAGATCAATGAAACTATTGAACTCAATGGACAAAAAAAAATAAAAACAAACAGACTACCCAGGAATATAACTTTTTAGTAAAAATTGGTTAAAATGGAATATTTCACAAAGGCTTTAGGGTTTAAAGTAGTAAAGTATTACACATTTTACAATTTGCATATATAATTTTAATTAACAGCTAAATGTGAAATTGCAAATGTAAGATGGTAAAAATTAAAAGAAGTAGAATTTTTATGAAGTATTACATTCATTTGAAATAAGTAAAATTAATATTAACTACCAATAGAACACTACATCAGAGAGCTGGAGATAATACAGAAGATTAGCACACAATTAACCAGCTTTTATATACAATGTGACACTTGCCTGTAAGAAATAAGTATTCTCGAAAGCAGTGTCAAGATATGTAAATGGATGATTTGTTTTATCATTCATCACAGCTCCTAATAAATTCAAAAAATCATGACTTCTATAGGTACTAAAAATAGGCCACCAATGATACAGGAGAGATAGCTCGATGAAGAATTACTTTTTTAACAATTCATTCTTTCAATGACAGCAATTAGCCCTACAGACAGGCAGCGATTAGGTGTATATTTTAATTATTATTCATTTTACCAGTAGCCTTAAACCTGATTAAAGTAAGAGATATCCAGGTGATGTGCTAGTCTTAATACCACTCAGCCACACTTCACATATGTAAAGTTCTTCTTTCTTACTGGAGATTTTCAATGCTAATGTAAGTTATGACACTCCATCCACTTTTTAGGCCATTAATCATTTAACTTATTCTTTAAGATCTACATTCTGCAAATGAAATTAAAGGTAATGCACTTGTCTTACTCAGACTAAATGCTTAAAGAAAAATGGAGTTGTCAGATTCAAATTACAGGATTTAAAATTTCAGTTTTACTACATAACATATATTTTAAGGTTTTGATTTCCCATAAAGAAAATGGGGATTTTTCTGACAGAGCCTGTAGGGGTTACCATTCTTCATATTTTTAACATTTAAGTCAGAGCTGTCAGACTACATCCCAGGTGATTCTCTACTCCCATCAGTCATGGCCTATAAAATGGTAAGGTTAAGTCCAGAGTAGGCAGTCAACGTTTCATACAACGTTTCACTAAAACCACAAGAAAAAAGTCAAGACTAACAAAAAATTTAGTATAGTTTATATCTGCCACATACACTGACTGTTTTACCACTCTGAAATGAATGCAGAAAACATGGGCTCAAGCTTGATTTGGCAAGAAAGAAACTCAGAAATTCAGTTAGTCTCACTTAAAAAAATACTTAAATCACAACAATCCCATACTTAAGTATTAAAATGAATAATGAATGCAAGAGTTACACTTCACCAAAGAGTGGAAAACTGTGCTAGCTGGCCATAAATCACCGCTGGATCATTTTGGACTAACCAGTGGTGTCCCTCCTACCGTAGTAAACACTCTGACTTCTCATCAGAACATCTCAGAGCACTTTAGAAGTAGTCATGTCTTATAAAAGCAAGACTTTTTAGCCAGCTGTATAAATCAGCAAGCTGAATCACGAAGAACATGAAGGGGTTTTTTTACCACCATCATATTGGGCCAGGAGCAGAACTCTGGTGTTCTGGTTGCTCTCAGAACTTCACACCAGCTACCAAACAACACTTGGGCTACAGCAGTGCATGCTTCCACACTGCACACTGGAGCCAAACCTTATTATTTTGACTGTTAGCTTTGAAGCTCAGAAATTGCTTTCATCTCAGTTATTTTAGGGGCTGGTATGGGGACATGATTCCCATGGTTTTGAAACACGCTCTTTTTCACAGCCTAAAGAAATGGAAGAGGTTAGTAGATAAAGAAATGTTTATAGAACCATACAAAGGTGTATATGCCCCAACCCTTTGAAAAAAAGTCCTCACCTCTCGCATCCACTCTCGAATAGTTTTGCCAGCTTCTTGATGCCACACGTTGTGAACAGAGTCTGTCAACGCCACAGCAGTTACCTTATTCTTTACTTCTGCCTCTCGCTGAATCATCTGTTAAAAAATACTGGCTTTAAGTTCTTTATTTCTATTGAGCACTGTCTGCTTTGCGACAGATAATGGTCTTAAATTAAAAAAGGAAGAGTAATGCAATTTCAATACTTGACTTCACTTGTTTCAAAGTTTATACAAATCCTAACAGCTCTAGAAACACAGGAAGACCTAATATTTTTGATAAAAGAAATAATACTAACTTTTAACTGACTGAACTATTCAGTCCTATTATTTTCCATGTGGCTTGACAATTCTAGGATTAAAGGTATCATAGTGAAAAAATGTAAGATTCCCTGAGGACATCTTTTACAAGCTTCTCCAAGTTCCTATTTCTGTGCTTCAGGGAAGCTGGTACCCGTGGTTCACTGTAAGCTACTCAAGACTATCATCTACTAATTTTCAGTAGATTGCTGTAGTTTTTCAGATGTATAATCTTACTTTGACTTGTATGTTTTTTCTTTTTCCACCCAATTTAGCTACCTCGCACTCCCACCATGGTCCCAAAATTCTTTGTGCTCTCTCTCATACATATGCTTACCAGGGTAACAACAGAGCCTATTAACATTTGTAACATATTAAAGAGTCTCTGTTGCTGGAAATGACAGTATGACTAAATAATATTAGTACTAAAACCAATTAAATGATTGCTGCAAATAACATGAACAAAATGACAAAGATGCTGTAGAATTCAGCGCTGCTCTGCAAGATAAAAGGGACTGAAAAAGAATAGTTTGATATCAAAGAGAGACAAAAAGGTTTTAATCTCCTGACACAAGTGACCCTAATTTGTAACACTGGAACAAAGTAAGTATAATGAACTATACCTAAAAAAGCAGCATTTCACAGCTAGTGTCTTTATCACTGGGTATACCACACTAAAGTTAATGTTTTTTTGGCATCCTTTTCTATTAATGGCGACACATACAACATTTCTAAAGCCAGACTTTCTTTGTTCATCGTCTAGTAACTGCTTATCAGTATACGGGCTGCACCTCCAAAAACAATGCTCCAGAAGGGATGCAAATGATGGTTTTTTTGCATCAAACTCAAAAATAATCACCTAAACGTCTGTTCAATGTGCAAATAGCATTTATCAATATCTGATACAAACAATCTCCCAATATCTTCAAAATACCACAAATGTAAACCTTTTTGAGCAGGCATTCTTCTACACAACAGTAGTACAACATTATGAAAGTTTCTTGTCTTTATTTTTGGTCACATAATATATTTTAAAAATTAACTGTAGTCAAGCTAATTCTTAAGTGACAAGTATTCATCATTACTGGAAAAGAAATACAAATGTTGATCTCCTCACTCCAGATAAAACCAGATGTCTGCCTTGCCCAGTACTCTTCTGTTCTGTCAGCATTACATGATTCAGAAGTTCAGCAAAGCTTAAGAAATTCTGGGCAAGTACATATGGAGACACTCTTAAAAGTGATCTTCATGTGAAGACTGTCTGTATGTCCCCTTTTTTTTTTTTTTTTGATACTCTCCCATGGGGCACATACAGTATCTACAAAATTTGGAGGATGAGACATTCTTTACAGGCGTGCGCATGGGGAGCAAAATAACTGATTAAGGACAAAATAGCATTTACTTAAAAGGCTGGGCTTCAGTCAGCTGTGAGATGGTACTGCCATTTTCAGCCAAACATCTGATACTGAACACTGAATTTCACCATAAATACAAAGTTGTGCATAACCTCGTCCACTATGAAATTTAAGAACTGTATGTAATAGTGACTTTTCCAGGACAGTCTTTAGGCAATTATATGATTCTGCTAAGCTTGGGATGAGACTCTGGAGCTCCTCGAGAAGGTGGAGCCTCAAAATGAAGATCTTTACCAACACTATAAATCACCTTCCCGAGGCTGTACAAACATCTTAAGTGCAACTAAATGTTTTGTGTCTTAAAGACAGATCTGAAATCATCAACCGGACTATTCTGTCAGAACTTGGACTCACTGTATCTCATCTACAATAATCTCACTAGGATTACACCATGTCTCAAATGTAGTTCAGATCTACAAAATAACTGAAAAATTGTATTTTTTAATGCAGTGTAGAAAGTACCAGGATCAGAACAAAGAGGGAATGACGGGATTAACTGAGCTTCTGTTATGCATGACATTGTGTTCAGCCCAGAATAAACAAGTTTTGGTAGATAACTTTTGAACTGACCTTGAAAAAACAACAACAAAAAAAACAAAACCAGAAAAAATAGATAGATATGGAATCAAGGGTATAACATTCACTTAAACAAGACTAATGTGTCCATATTTAAGTGACACACAAATGTCACAACAGAGCATGTCAAGCCCAGGTCACTTAGTTTCTACTCAAATTCTCTGCTATGGTGGGATATTAACTAATAATAACAACCAAGAATAGATCTAGGTGTCTCTCAAACAATAGATTCTCTTAGCACGGACCCTAATTTATCCTACGAGAAGATAAAAGAAGCTGAAGTGCTCACAGAAGCATCAATGCTTCAGATTCTGCGGACTGATAGTTTTGAGTTAAAACATAGATATCTTCACTAAAAATAGCTTTTAATTCACATACAATTAAAAAATTAATTGAGCTGAATAGAATTGTTACAGCTAGCAGCTAGCTGTTATTCAGATTTGATACAAGTCTGTAATTCCAAAGAAAGGATGCTAAGGGATGCACGATTTACACCTCCCAGGATTAGTTTTATCCCACGCAGCCAGTGCAGTCTTACAGCAGATATACTAAAATCAAAGACATTCAACATAACACAGACTATTTACAATATAACAAACCGTATTTCTTTTTTACTGAAGCAATAACTGCAGATAAAGACCTAGGGAATTCATCTGAAGTTTATTTTATACTTTACACTCTTTGTACATGAGTAGGTTCCACATAAACCCAATTCTCATAGCCTGAGAATTACTTACTTTTTTCTTCAATTCCAGTTTTCAAATCTCAACCTATTTTTATCAGAACATTGAGAGATTTTGCAGGAAGCAATCTCTCAATGTACCCCTTCATAGGATGGCTTCGAGCTCCTACTCTGTCCTAATATTCCTTCCTCTTTGAAAAATTCATTCATAACCAAGAGCAGTTAAACAGACACTTCTGTGTCAGGTTCTCCTTTGACTCCACCCCCCTAGGACTTTCTTGAACATGTTTTCTAATAAGAAATTTCTATTTAGCCTCTGTCTATTTTGTAGTCACTGTACAGTTTGTTTTGTAATTTTTTTATTGCATCATCATTGCTTTACATTTATTCTCTTGCACTAGGCATATTCCTAGAGCAGTATTCACTGTAAGGATTTAGAAAGCACTGTCTATGTACTATTGGGTGAAAATTTATTCTTTACTTTGCAAGGCACAAGTGTTACACAAGTGTTCAACTGAAATCCTATAAAGCTTAAAACTTTAAAACTAAGTTCAAATATATTACTGACATGCTTATTGGTCAATTTAATAAACTGTTTACTTCTAAGTTGTTCATAATGTTGGATGGCTGCCTTCTGCAACGTAATATTATACAATTACCATAACTTTGTAATGAAAAAAAATTGGTACCTTCATATTCTGTTGTGTGCGCATACAAAATACTGTCTCTTATCACAGATATAATACATTAACCATACATACAAATATTTAGAATAGATGATGAGATGTAACTTTGGCATGCAGTATACTTTGCAGCATAGCACTCAGATGTGAGTATCAATATATTAAAAGGAGAATCGAAAGTCTTATACTGTTAACATGAAAATCCATGCATGTTCCAGCTAGAGATTAAAACTTCTTCGGTGGTAGACAGGTAAAAAAATACCTTTTGTACTTATGTGGGCTCAATCAAGCCAACTGCCATTACTTGGTATTTACGAGATACTAACTCTTTTGAGTCACCTGTAATCGGAAATTAGGAAAAATTGATAAATATTTTAAAAATGCCCACAAGTCACTTTCTCTTGATCTTTTTAGAAAACCTTTCATCTACTTCCCCTGCCTTCCACTGCAATTTCAGTTGTGGTATGGTATTTATGTGGTGAGCACTGGGTTTGAATGGGAATGTCTACAACAAGAATTTGGCTTGGAGCAAAACTAAATTTGACAAATACTTCCCTTGTCTCCAGTTGCCTCATTCTAGTTTGAGTTTTAAGAAGCTCTGGCATGTGCTAACTGAATTCCTTTCAGAGGAAACTGAATTGGAAGCTTCTGTCCAAATGCACTGAATGATTTCCAGACGTGCAGAAGAAATTCTGCTGCTCACAATGGCATCAGTTGGACTATGTGAAATATGTAACAGCAGTGGAAGATAGGAAGAGAGAAGAAATCACCCACAAGGAGTGGTATGTGAGTGAGAAAATTTTATTAACACTTTTGAAAGGACATGCAGATTCCTAAGAACCTTGTGTGCTCTCTAGGGAATTGCTGTAGAACTACCCTTTCAAGATCCTCTTCAGCTCTTCTTTCACTCAGTGCCATACAAACCAAATAACAGATCTGTTTCAGGATGCACCATTCCTGAACTCAAAAAGGCTACTCTTCATCAAGAAGCATGTAATTCTTTTACCTGCAGTGCAAGTTTGCTGGCCTGTGATTCTCAAACTTTTCATTGCTTTCTGGATGCAATTCCTGAATTTTTTAAATACTCAGTTTTTTTGGCACATCCTCAATTTTTCATAAAATATCATTTGTTAGGGACTAGAATTCCAGAGCAATTACACTAGAACAGCATATAACAAACGTAAGTCAATCCACAGTAAGTCAAACTAGTTCCCATTTTCAATAAGCACTGAGAATGATTTCCTCTTAATTTACTCACAGATGTGCAGAAATACCTGCTTGCAGTAGACAAAGCATTTGATTCCTTTTTAAAGATCAAAAGAAAACATCTGCATACACAATCATAGAATGACCACAGCCATGTATTTTCAGATATTTTTCTCAAAAACCTATTGGATGCTACATCTACAGTCGTGATGATGGCTTTCTAAATCAATAAATCAC